AACCCTCTGGTTATGTAGACTCTTTGGTCAAATATCTCCTCTACTTTCGAACATAGATTCTCCAACTTTTTCACAATGACTTTTATATCAATTTGTCTCAGATCTACCAGCTGAATATTTTTTTCAAATTCCTGCGCACGTATTTTAGAAAATTCATTAATAAATAGGCCTACCATTAAAAAAACTCAGTCGAGAGTTTCTATAGCTTTAAAAAAAGTTTACAGGTTGGGCAATATCGCTTTTTTTGTTTAAAGCAAGTCTGTCATTTTTTTCGAATCATTATGCTAATTGAACGTATGTTTCGGGAACCTTTAGTGCAAAAAAAGTGTTCACAATAAAATTGATTTACTGTAACTAGTTTTGCCACTACAAAGTGTCATTGAGGAGCTATGACGTAGGCAAAATGCATGTCAGAAGGGGAAAGTGCTGTGAACAATTATATTTTTCGCGTGATGGAGATTTATAGTACATGTATTTTGTATAAATTTATGAGTAAAAGTTTTTTTTTAAAAATCGAGCCTCAATTGTTGTGGAAAAATGTTATTAAGTTAAGACAAGTTGATACAAACTGAGGTGCAAAGTATGGGTGGCATTGATTCACCCGTTAGAGAATTACATGTATTTGAGGATAAGTTTCGCCACGAATTTTTGACCACATTATAGTGGGCTTAATAAGCCTTATAATGCCTCTAACCCACCGATATTGTTGGAAGAGGTCCAAGTATACTGTCTGATCTTTATAAGGGCTTAATTAATTGGTAACATCATTAATTTATCTTTCGATAAGGTAAGAAAAACTTGACAATGTGGGTGAAATATTGGCCTCCTTCTCGTTGCTGACCTGACACATGTGTGTGGCAGTGAAAGGTATCGTATTCGTTGTGACTGACAGTAACGTCGTGAATGGTTAGCTTGAACACGGATACATAATACACATTCGCGTGCTCGCGCAAACACACATACACATACACACACGCGCACACACACACGCACACACACACACACACACACACACACACACACACACAC